CGAGGACCTTGTAACTGCAGCTCGCGGAAGGCTTCCTGCCAGGCCTCTGCTTTAGCTTCGGCTCTGGCCTTGCCGATCAGAGCTTCTGCTGTAGCCTCGGCCAACGATCCATCAAGTACTTCGCGATGGCTCTGGCATCGTGGTTGTACTCTAGCTTCAGTACCTGGGACTCCTGGCTGTACTGTGCACTCTCCGCTGTCCTCTGTCGTTTCACGGCTAAGGGTCCAGGTACTTCCGGAGCAAGTCTTTGACTGCCAAGTACCCGCACGTCGTCGCTGCCGCGGCCTAGTGCCAGCAGCTGCTCTGCAGTGGCCTCTTGGGTGTCTGCCACAACCAACACCTCGGGCCTCCTTGGTGAGGACTTCGCTGCAGTATGCCGCCGAACAGGCGATGCAGGCCAGGAGCCTTCATGCTCCTGTATTGCGTGTGTCGTCAACAACACTCCATCACGGCGCATAGCCTCCTCGTGTAATGTGGCAGCTCCGACTCCAGCTTGTGACTCCACATGCGACGTACCGGAAGACATGAGAGGCTCAAACTACAGAGAGCTACAGTTTGCAGAAGCCTGGCAAGCAAATACCATCTGTCATTGGAGATTGCTATTGATGCTATCTCAGCTGTGGGCCAAGACTGGATTCTCAAGTATGCCCTGGCTGTTGAAGGATTATCTCGATCATGCTGCCTTGCCCCACTTCTTTGCGCCGTTTCTACTAAGGCGGCGAGGAACGGCCCTTCTAGGAGTATGGGCCTTGCCAGGCCATTTTGTAAGAGTGGTTGCTCCAGCTTCCGAAGCAGAGTCGTACCTGCAACCAGCCAAATACAGGCTAGTGTACGGCACCAAACAGACCACACAAAAACAGATTCTGGGGCCGGAACCATGTATTTCCGTCGCAGATGTAGAAGCACCAACTCCTCAAACAGAGGTACGCGTCACAGGTGACAGTGCGAAAGGCGCAGTGAGATGATAAACAGTCCTCCGGCACTGGGGCGTCAGTGCTGACACGCTCCCAGTTGACCTCGCAGTCTGAGTCGGCTTGGGCTCGAGGCTGACAACCGTGCTGCAGTGGCCTTCATTACGTCTTCTCCTGCTTCGGACTGCCGCTCATACCTCGGAACACAAAACCTCTCGAAACCATCGTAAGAGCCCAGTTCGTTGAGCAGCGCAAAGCCTTTGCTCCGGGCTCAATCCTGAATACGTCGCCCGCAGAGGCACGGAACGCCCTGGCGAAGCAGCATCGACTTGCAAAACTGTGGCAATGTTAAAGCAATGCAGTCGCGATGCTTGGCATGGGGAGGCTCAATGACACATACTTGCCAGAGATGCCAGGAGTTGAGTGAGCTGCGCTGATCCCATGCACCTCAGCTGGCTAACTGCTCCAGTCTGCAGGCAATGGCTGTGTAAGGCTTACAGACACTCCGAGCTGCGGACGCAGCACAGCTCGACCAGGAACTCGAGAGAAGAGCGTTTCAGGCCCAATCACCTCAAAGAATCCAAATCGCTTGGTGGACTTAAGACGGGATCATGGTCGAACCTGGCACCGATCTTCATTCCGCAGGAGGTGGAACTGCTGATCTCCGGTTACCGGGATTGTCACCTGCCCAGAAGCTCCCTTCAGTGTTCACCGTGGCTATCACACCTTCACCCCGCACCGCTGGCGCCCCGGCACCTAGCCTCAACTCGGTGCAAGTGCCTCCGAGCAGGGTCTGGCTTCATTGCCTGCCATGTTCTCATCCGCAGTCGGGTTGCAGGGCGAGAACGTAACGTGACAGCACGCCTGCATCTCTTTGACATCTTGCAGACAATTGCCCGTGTTTCAGGCATTTCAGCAACTTGAGCTTTGCTCTCAGTGTTCTTTTTTACGTGCTTCTCAGACGATCTTGAAGATGTTTCGGCATCATGTGATCTGGCGGCCGCCACTTGAACTTCCTTGGGCGTCGATGCAAACGAGCATTTCGAAGGGGTGACCTACTTACCAGTGCCGCAAATCGTATGCCATTGGGACACTTGTTTGGATCCGGAAACATGTCTGGCAGCAGGATGTTGCACCTCGGCTGATCTTTCGAAAGCCCTTCACGACACCGGCAACGCATACAGTCTTGCATTGCGTCAGCAAGGCTCCTTCAGCTGAGCTACGCAACAGCGATCTGCCACAGAAGGGCCCGATACTCGGCCTCCTTCCTCGACAGGTCAGCAGCATCAATTGCAAAGGTGCCTCCACAGCATGTTACTCCGTTGCCAGGAATCCCCTCGTCATCGATGCTGCCCACCAGCTTCTGAAGGTTGCGAAGGCTGCCCGTCAGAACGGCGACATGCGCCTGCTGGAGGTAGCGGAAGAAGTAATAACGAGTTCAGTTCTTGCTATGCGGCCGTCGTGCCCCAAGCGAAGCAAAAACTTGCCAGACGCAGGGTAAGCTTTGGGCAGACCCAACCGCAGACATGGGTGTCATGATGCGGTCTCCACAGCGTGAGCCTTCGCAGATGGCCATCCCAAATACCTCAGCGTTCGAGCTTGCTGCCGGCTCGCAATGCATTGCCACCGGAACGAGAAGGTTATGTCAACCACACTCTCATCGGCAGGGGTTGACGGATAGAGTTCAGTCGAGTCTCAGAGCTTCCTGCCAATCTTGGATGGAGATTGACGAACTCTTTGGCCGCTTGTCCACTTCAGAGAGGACGCATTCCTGGCCACTTTGTTTTGCATCTGCCCGGTGCGAAGCCGTCCCAACCGTCCCAAGCCTCAACCTTTTGGCGGAGCTCCTTGTACCTACGTAGAGGCATTCTGACACCATCAGTCAAAACTTTGAACCGAACTTGGAGCCGTACGCCGGCAGTAGTTCTGGCAACTGGACGACCAGTGGAGGATCCTTCCTCAGCATCCAGCACCCTTGCTAGTTTGCCCCGGGAGCCGTATTGTACTTTGCGGTGAGTGTTGGCACCATGGAGGCTGACAGATTCCGCACAGCTTCAGAAACTCACCGGTACTCACCCATGCTCGGGACCGTCTAATGACATCGAAGAGATCCACCGAACAGACAAGCCAAGCGTCTGTGCTCTGGTTCTGGCCACTGTCAGACGTCCGAGATGTACAACGTCTCGCTGGCTGTTGATTTCCTGCAATCTGTAAGACTTGCCACATTCAGGACACAGAGCTTCGGCATCAGTCACTGCATTCGGCTTGCCCTGCCAAACACTACGGCCACTATGGCGCTCTTTTGCTACCGCGGCTTTTCTTAATGCATCCCCAGCTTTAAGTCAGGTCACATTCTCCACTGCACAGCTATGACCGACAAGCACAAAGGATAGGTGGGCAGCATGACCTCGCATTGAAGCACGGGCCAACTGAAAGTCCATGGTTGCCTCCCCCAAATGCAGCTCTGAAGCCAACGGAGAAATGGCCAAGATTGGCAACCTTGGAAAACGGACCCGTGTTGAGGTCAAAAGGGTTTGGGAAAATTCTGAGCCTGGCCACAACCTCCCACATCTCCTCTGCCGGCACAGCTCTGCGGTTGAGATAGGAGAACATGGCCGTCATGCCCATCTGGTTTCGCAATGCCTTGCCTGATCTTGTCAGGGCTGGGGTATGCAAACTGCAACCGGCCAAATCACTCCAGAACGACAAGCCAACTGCCAAATCCAACTCTGTAAAGCGCTGAGATTCGAATGCTTTCGAGAGGCACGGGCACGACCACGTCTCCATACAGCATCTCTAACGTATCAGTTGATGTGGGCCTCACTGGAACACCGCCTCCAGGATTGAAACTTACCGTCTAGGATGGTCCAAGCTTTCTCCCTCCATGTCTCACGAATCAACCGCCCTGAACCGCAGTCCTATGGCCACCAAGGAAACCATCGGCGATTTCAGGAAGTTGCGATGGTCATCGTCGTAAAAACTCGCGCCGCCAGCCTCGAGCAAAGCCCGAAGCCTGAAGGCATCGGACGCAACATATGCATTTTGCAGATTTTATATGGCTTGATCTCCTGATCACTACTTACCACGTGAACACTCACCAGATCTAGTCAAGAACCCTAGCCAATTGAAAGGATGGACTCAGCATTTTGGACAGTGCTCCGCACTCGGGCTGCCGCGCTTTCCACCGAGCAGCTTCCCTGTGTAGGGGACCTCGCCCCCAACGTCCCACCACGCGATCTGGTCCAGAACGGGCAGGCCACAAGGCAGGGTCCGCGCCAGAGAAGGGAGCCTACCCCAGCTTGGGTTTCAGCAAATCAAGAAACGCGGAGAAACTCACATCTGCTGCTGTGAGAAGAGATCAATCTGCATAGCCACTAACGTCAGGGGTTAGATTCGAGCACTCACATTTAAAGCGCAGGTCTCGTGTCGTTAAGACTTCAGCAATGCTTGGTGAATATGATCGGTGACAGATGTGTAGTAATTCGTTTGGATTACCTGCGAGATGAAAAACGTTCACAACGATAAAACCCCAAAAATCCCTCTGCCGGCAAATACTCCAAAAAAGCAGAACACAACAGAGCTCAGCCTGCTATGAGGTTTGAGACTTCGGCTTCAAGGGCTGGGGCTTTAATCAAAAAGAATACAGACACGATGATCGAGCAGCGAACTGCACATCAAACCTCAAGCAACAGAGTTGAAGCTGCTTTGGCTGGCACATCTTAGCCCCAACACGAAAACCCGCATGCAGCGGTCGGATGACGATACATCTCCAGCACCGAGCAAAAGACATGAACCTCCCAGCGACTGCTTGCATTCGGATGGCAAAGCCAGCTTTTTCTGAAAGTTTGGAGACAAGAAAGCCGCATGAGCCTTTACAACGGAGGGCAATTCCCGAAAGGTTGGCAAGCACAGACCTAAACTCCTTCTTGGAGGCGGCAGAGCTGAAGCTTCAGAAAGAGAGGTTTCGGAGCAGCAATGCTTACACTGGAAGCAAGGACAGGAAGGAAACCATGGTGCTCAAATCAAAACGCGAAAGGACTCTGAACAGGGGCTGAGGCTGGCGAACCTCGGAAGCAGCGCTTGAGTTCAGCGGGAGGCAAGGAACTCTACTTTCGGTCCAAGCCCTGCAGCCCTATGAACCCTTGAGCGGAATGCAAGCTTAACACCTTGCAGGGACAAATCCGAATCCAGAGCATTCTGCAAGACGAAATGATGTTCACGTTCTGTTTCTGTTGATCTGCAGTTGCACTGCACCCTTCCAGAGGAAGGACAATTAAAAGTCACAGCCCGCAAAGGCCGACGATCTGTTGTCCTCCGTCCTGACCCCCAACCGCACCCAGAGAAGTTTCAAGTTCGTCCGGCCTTTCACTTGAGCCTTCCTCGCAAGCTAAGAACTTCGCTGGTGCCTCAGAGCACCAATGCGAATTTATCGGGGCATTGCTCCAGGCTCGATGCGACGCAACCTGAGATACTGGCCTGACCCGGACGCGCTCCATCACGTCTCTGCATGCCTTGCTGTGACTGCCGACGCACTGTTGAATCTCTAAGTATGTCCGTTGAGTTTATCTAGTGAGTACAGGTATGTTGGCTTAACAAACTAGTGGACTTATCTACCCCGACTGAAAGGTCCTGCCCCCACAGGCCCGTTCTCAAGTCTGCTGGAATGCTGGCAACCCAGCAACAGCACGTGACGTACAGGTACCGATGCACACATGCCCGCACACTGACACGTATGTACAAAGGTACGTAGCCCCTCGTCATGGAGCCCAGCTCGCGGTGCGGACGCGTCGCAGAGCAGCGCTGCTCCGCCGACCAGGCCGAGGCCGAGCTGCCTGAGACCGTCTCGGCCTCGGCAGCGCCGAGTTGCGTGCCTGGGGTGCCTGCCCTCGGTGCCTTTAAAAGCCTCGCTTGCAAGCCGAATGCTGACATGCGCTGACGAGCGGAGGCCTGGGCTTCTTCCGTCTGGACCCCAGGATCGCCTTTGCGGCTGCACAGCCGCCTCGGCATCGTTTCGTCTAGGGCCCAGGACCTGGGGCCCTAGGCGCTTAGCACGGCCGCCCCCGGCGTGCCTGAAGGCCATGGGAGCATCGCCGCCCCAGGCGAAGCTGCAGGCGAAGGCGCCGCATCTTTTTTTGTCCGAAACACGGAGCGGCTGTGCTACAATCAGTGAGCGCTGCCACGGGCCAGAAACGCCAACAAAAATAAGCAGCATGCCCCGAAACCTACGTGATCACCGCGAAGTTGCAGCATCATGCACTGCAGAGCAAACAGTCATTGCTGCGCCTGGCAATCGTTCATTGTCCAGCTGCCAACAACCTGCGATCAGGCTCCAATCACAAGAACAAGGCGGCAGCCCAACCTAAAGGACTGCAAGTGACTAAAACCAAGTCGTCTTCGACGACCTGTCGCATCGGTGTTGTCTGCAAGAGGCCTGGTAAGTGCCAACGAGTCCATCCAAGCTTGCCCGGAACGCTCGGTCGGCAGGCGTGTCCGTTTCCTCATCCTGCACAACGGCCCAGGCAAGCCGTCCTACTTCAGCAATTCGCTGTCCTTCGGCAGCTTCTCCCAGTCTACCATCCTCCAGCGCCCCTGAACGTGTAGACGGACCCGAAACCTGCTGGCAGAACACGTCCTAGAGGTGCTGTTCCGACGGAACTGATCGAGATCTCAGAAACACGTTTCCCTGTCGACCTCTAAACTGCAGATCAGCAGGCATCAGCAGGCTGGACTTATCATCAAACGAAGCCCAAGACCCTGATGCAAGAGGAAGGCCCCAGCGAGGGTTGCTGCGGCTCAGCAGGATACAGGCACACTTGAGGCGTCTTGCGGTCTGCCTGTCCCCCGCGACGGCCGTCTGGTCGTCGAAGGAAGGCAGCTCATCAGGTACTATGACCTGGACGGTACAATCGTCATGCTGTATGCTTGACAGGTTGAAAGGAAATGCAGCTTTTGGGGAGAAGCTCATGGGGCACGGGCAGTCCAAGCATTGCTGTCACCAATGGTGAGCTGCTTCTGTTGGCTCGTGTCCGGCAGGTCCTCGGCCTGGACGGGAGCAACTTGGAAGTGCAAAATTGCAGCTTTCCGGAGCTCGATCACGGTCGACGATGTGTTTACACCAGCTGGACGAGTGAAATCATGTTTACATGCGGCAGATGATATTGTTCGTGGCCCGTCGGCACCTAGATGTGATGGCATTCCGGATGTGCATGATGGTTTCAGGTATCATTTACGCGTTTGTGCGCACAACAATCGAGCACTGCTCGTGCATAGATATAATCGCAAATGCAAGTGCCTTAGCTTATGTCTGATAAGTATTGTACGTAATCGGTTGTACTGCTATATCATTAATGTCAAACCTTCGTTTACAATAGCTGCACACTGCAAAACCAGGCTCTGATTCTATGTTGTGCAAAACCGAAGGACTACATCGCTAGTCTATGTTGTTGCACAGACTTACCACAACATCATATCCTTCCAATGCTCCACACACCACACACTACTACTGTATGATGGCCTTACTATATGGCTGGACTATTGATCTGTACCGGGCGGCATGAGAGCTAGAAAGGAATTGTATGGTGCGAATGTGCGATGGACTTGCTGCGCCACTAATTGTGTGAATTTGTTCTGTGTCAGTCCCATCATCGCATAGCAGTGTACCACAGCTCCACTGTAATATTATAGTGTAGGACGTTTGCATTCCTACGACGGCTCTCAACTGTATGACAATACCATGCCGCTGAAGCCATTTCTTTGCTGTGCTACCGAATGGGAACCTTGTCCTACTCCCAGGGGGATCCACCCAACACCGAAACGAGTGCATCCTCTGTTTTGGCATGCAGTGCTTGAGAGCAATGATGCACTGATTCCGGTGCATTCTTGTTTGTTGCATGTCGAAAAAATGTCGGTGGGTTGAAAAAGCTACCATGCATGACTGTCGAAGACATGCCGTGATCCGTACAAGAAAAACTTGACACTTATCTTCGCATGTTGGAATTCTGTTTGCATGAATGCCCATGCCCTGCCAGCTGGTATGAATGTCATTATCCATGAAGTACAAGCCCAAGTGCCAAGCATCTGACCCGAATAAATTCCCTAACCCCGTTTGTTTAAAGCGACGCTGCTTTTGTGTGCACACAAAGACAGGCAAAAGACACAAAAGCACTTTTGCGCACAAGCAACTCATATGTGTATGAATAAAAACAGCTCATGTGTTTGTGAACAGGGAAAGGTGTTAAACAGCAGCCTACACAAAACACATATTTCCCGCAAGAAGCCCATGACATGAAAGTGCTTTTGATAACTTTCTCAAGTCACATCAAACACCCCCACACGCGGAGAAAGTCCAGAGCATCAGTGTGCAAGATTTGCGGCAAGGTAAGGTTTTTGAAATTCGCTGTTGGTGTCAGTGGCAGCAGTGGCTGCATGGATGCTCTGCAGGGACGTGGTGGACGTGGTGGTGGTGGTGGTGGTGGCGGCGGCGGCGGCGGTGGCGGCGGCGGTGG